CTATTTTCTTTTGTGACTTCTTATTTTCCTGCAGAACTCATCACTATGCTGCAAGTAATATAAACGTAATAAATGTTCGCTTCCTGGGGTTTGAGTAAAGTTCAAGTCATAGAACATAAATATCATTTGCATAACAGGTCATCAAGGTACAGCAGCTTTTGTAGTAAACTGGGAAGTCATTGCTTCCCCAGTGATAATCCAGGCAAACTGAGAAATACCGTGAATTAGCTTGAGTTAAACAGTTGCTACAGTTGTGCCCTGTATACTCTGCTTAGCAACAACCGTCAGGTCTTCCAATGATGAAAGAGCCCTGGGAGCTGAGTCCTGACACGATGGAATGTGTGGGACACTGGGTGTGCAGGGTGCTGGAAGGGGGGAGATTAAAGGAGGACTGGCAAGCGTGGGCTGGAAGGAGAGGGCAGCACTGAAAGACGTGTGTGTGTGTCCTGTGCAGGGAGGAGGGCTGGCCCGCACAAGGATCTGAAGGACGAGCCAAAGGACACCTGGTTGACCTTTTGAAAGGAGGACGGGAGGTTGTGGGAAATAATCAGATCCTTAAGCCACTCATCTAGGTGCATACCCTCTACTCCCTTCTCCTAACTCATTGTTCACCAAACCTGTGGAATCTCTCTCGAGATCATTTCCTTACATACTGGATCCCAAAGCTCAGGGGATCATAATTATGCCTGCTGATCTGTCAGGGCCCTGAAGGGAGTCAGTCGCCATCCTTCCCACTCTGCCCATCCTCCTCCTGCCTCTCAGCTCTCAGGTGCTTCTCTGAGACACAGACACGGTTGACAGCAGCAGGGCTCTGGCAGCGTTCGAGAGGTGACCACAGGCTGCGTGGGTGAGCCTCCACCTTAGGGAGGTACTCTCCTCAAACGAGACAAATGACCTCCCCTCCCACCATGGTGGGAGCTCCATGAAGAAGACAGTAAACATTACCTGTAATCCCATCACCTAAAGAGACAACCACCATTAGCATTTTAGTTATTTTCTTCCAGGCTTTTACTATACACCTAGAATTTTTCTTTTACAAAATTGGAATATCTGTATATGTGTGTGTGTGTGTGTGTGTGTGTGTGTGTGTGTGTTTGTGTGTGTGTGTGTGTATTGTATGCAGATATAGGTAGTTTCATGCCTGTCTTTCACTTAAGTTATATAATCAGTGTTTTTCATGTCAATAAATATTCTTAGGGGCTTCCCTGGTGGTGCAGTGGCTGAGGGTCCGCCTGCCGATGCAGGGGACACGGGTTCGTGCCCCAGTCCGGGAAGATCCCACATGCCGCGGAGCAGCTGAGCCCCTGAGCCATGGCCGCTGAGCCTGCGCGTCCGGAGCCTGTGCTCCGCGGCGGGAGAGGCCAAAACAGTGAGAGGCCCGCGTACCGCAAAAAATATATATATAAAAATAAATATTCTTAGGAAACAAGACTTTTCTTAACAACTGGCTGTCATGTTATAAATACAACATAACAGTTAAACATTTGCCTATTGTTAGACATTTGAGTTGTTTCAGGTTTTTATTATCAAAATATACTGTAATAAACATCTTGTATATAAATTTATCTGTATATTTGTTTATCTTCGTAAAATAATAACAGCTAATGTTCACTGATTTCTTACTATGTGCCTGACCCTGAGCTAAATGCTTTATGCATATAGCTTTATGCATATTCATTTAATTTTCACAAAAGTCTATAAGGTAGGTTCTACTGTTATCCCCATTTTACAGGGGATGGGTGACGTAGAGAGGTTAAGGAAACTGTCCAAGCTCACACTAGAAGAAAACAGGGGAGTCAGGGTTCAAATGCAGAGTTTTACCTGGAGCCTGAACTCAAAGTCAGCTGTAACTTCTTAGAAAATTAAATTACACAGAATCAAAGACTAAGAAGATTTTATTTACTAGTTTGTATGTTTGTCATAAAGTAATTCCTGCAAGTAGTATATGAGTGATATTAAATGAAAAATAGAAGACTTCTATACCCTCCTCCCCTACTCCCCAGACTTACTCCCTATAAGTGGTAGTTAAACCTTCCTTGTTTTTATTTCTCTTTATTTTCAATGTTTTAAAACTGAATGATGATATGTCTAAAGGTGAATCTTTATTCCATCCATCTAGCTGAATACTCAGTGGAATGCTTTCAATCTGAAGACTTGTGCCCTTTAAGTCTGGGAATTTTTTTCTAGTTTTTTTTTTATTACTTTTTTTTTCTCTGTTCCCTTTTTCAAAACTCCTTCTGGAGGAACATCAGATTTTTTTTCTCACATCTCATCTAGCTGTTCTAAGTTCTGGGAAATTTTCTGGACATTATCTATCAGCCTTTCTATTTCATTCTTTCCACTTCAGGAATTTCATATTTTAACTTCTAAAAACTCTTTCCTTGTCATTTATTGGGTTCCTCAAGAAGAAGAAGCAGATTCTGATATGGAGATCAATACCTGTTGATGGAAAGAGAAGGGAAGGGAAAGGAAGGAGGCAGGATAGGGCAGAGAGAGAAGTTAAACTGTGATGGCTTCACAACAAGACCTTACTCAGCAAAGGCATGAGGCACTATACATCCCACCGACAAGTCACTGACTTTGCGCTATCCCAGGGAGAGGGTGCTGTCGTTACGGATAGTGGGGCTAGCTGAGGTCCCATGAGCAGGAAAGGCAAACTCATACCCAGAATATGAGTTTATTCCAGGAAAGATGAATACCAGAGAGGTCACTGCTAGAAAGAAAAAATTAAATGTTTTATTTCTGTGCCGTTTTAAAAAATATTTGCTTTAACCTATTTGTAATCCATTGAAGTGTCAGTTAATTCTGTACTACTTTGCCAGTCAGGCTTACTTTGTAATAACTTATGTTTCCTATCTCAAGTCTTCAACATTAAGGATATATTTAGGTAGCCCTAGGAGCTATGTCATTTTTCCCAAAATAACATCCTGACCCTAAACCATACAATCTGATAATAAGGAATTACTATCAATGAGACATTGTAAACAGACATAATATTTCTGAATCTGAAAAGTATTTGACCTATCAAAGGAGCACTGGAGCAAAGGTCCACTGTCAGAGTCATACTTCCCATCATGACATTGCCGGGTTTCTCTTACAAGCCTGAGTAATGATCCTTCATTTGTCAGTCAGCAGTCAGCCTATCCTGCCTACGGGTAGGTCCTTCACTCTTTCTATTGGCCAGAGAGAGTGATGGAAGGCAGCAGCTGCTGCCTTGCTCAGTGCTAGGCTCCACCTCTACCCTACAGAGATCACTGACTGAAATGCATCAGAGACCACTCAGCTGTTCATTAAGGAGCCCACAAAGAGGGCCGGCATGCTGAGCGCTTACATGTGAACTGAATCTAGGAGGTCTAGTTCATAGAAAAAATGTGTCCAGCACCATCACCTTTTCCCTTTACAAACACAGGGCACGAACTAGGGACTAGTGCTGCAGGCATATCAGGGATTTGTGTGCAAACTGCCAATTAACAGGCCAACCTTAGTTCCTGAGAGAACACTAGGCAAAAGGAAAAGGGTTTGAACAGGCATTCTGGAGCCTAATGCTGGGTCAGCACTAATCGGTGGAGAGTGTTTCACAGAGTGGGGCTTGCAGCACTGTCAGGTGTGTCTCCGGAACGCCACTGTCACTAAATCTGGAAATAAAGTAAGGTGATAAGGAGGGACAAGAAAGAGGCAACATCCAATGGGTGCTAGGACCTCTCAGGGACCCTGGATGAATTTTATTTGGCTGTTTTTCTGAGAGTGCACATTTGGGGGGTATACTTAGTCTCAGGTTCTGAGGTGGTGCTCTCTGGATACTAGCATTCTATGTAAGAACTCCGATATTCCTGGATTTGGGACCCATATTGACCCTGCGACTCTTCCATTGAACAGCTGATCGGCCTCTACTGTGTATCAATAATCTCCAGAGGCTAAGCGATTGGGCTGGGCTGACAGCAGCATCTGCTGCTCGTCCATCATCTCTTCCGGCCAATAGAAGCAGGGCATGGTCCCCATGGCCTGGGAAGGCCTTCACTCTCCCTCTCCAGTGGCTGTGCCAGATGAAGAAGTCATTACTACTCAGGGCTGGAAAAGAAACCAAGCATGTCTGGAGGGAATAAAAGAATGAGAGAACAGGATACAGGCAGCCAGTTGGTCACCAGGGCACATTACAGCCTCTGGGTACTCTTTCCAGATGCCTTGCATTTTTCAGTGTGCAGCCTCTTTCCCCATCCCTTCACTGGGGGGAGTTCAAGGTTTCAACATCCCTGCATAATTCAGTCTTTAAGAGAGGGATAGGAATGTCTTGAGAAAGAGAAAGTAATGTGGCAACCCAAAAAGAGATTCAAAGTTTTCTCATTGTTTTGTGATTAACTCAGGAAGCTCCACAAGGAGCTGTGGGTTCCCAGGAGCCATGAATGTCACTTAGGGAAAGTGAGAAATAAATGATGAGACAAGCAATCTTTCAGTGCTCCTTCAAATGCTCTCAGTTTGGCCCAATTCTCTCTGTACTCAGGATGTGTATGTCTTTCATGGTTGTCCTTCATCACTATTTTCATGTTCTATTTCTCAAAAGCCTTATAGTTGTTAATAGTGATACTAACACTAATAATATCTTCCTCTTGAACCATGCACAACATTTACAAAGATTGTTCACATTCATGACTTCATCTGAAGCCCTAGGAAAGAAAGACATGTGGTATCGTGCCCGTTTTAGAGACAAAAGCCAGAAAGGTCAAAAAAGGTGTGAGCAGCCCCAGGTAGAAGACCTGATAAGAGTCAAGGTGGAACTTGACCTCAGATGTTACGTTTATAAGTCCAGGTTTCTTTCCACACTCATGGCTCACATGACATCAGCACTGTCCACAACTCAAGTAACACCAGTCAGCTATGATCCAGAAGTAGGGGGCAATGGAGTACGTTTCTGCCATGATGTCATTGCCCTGAAGGAAGTTACATCCACGCCACCAGTGTATATGCGTGTGTATGTGTAATAAAATTGTAATCTTTCCACTCACCAGATCAGTGACTGCTGAAATGGAGTCGTTGAAGGAATCTCAGTTTTTTTATGAACTCCTTTATTCCCTCTCATTTGGGGTTTAGTGTCGTTTTCTCAAATCCTTGGGAACTGAAAAAGGGACAAAGTAATTGACAAAGTCAGTCAGTTGATTTATGCTGAGATCTGAAAGGTAGAGTTCTGTTCGTGTGTGCATATGTGTGTGGGTGTTTTAAAAAGCAGTGTGATTCACTTTTTTAGCCTATAGAAAACAATTCTTAACATTTAAGAGGAGGATTCATGCAGGAAAACATTTAGATATGGAAGTGCAGACACTGTGCAGAAAGTTAGCTGTCCTTAAACTATCGTCAACTTCCAATAAATGACATGTTTCATTTTTCCCTTCCTCGGGATCAATGTTTTTAAATGTCCGTTTCCTCTTTTCATAAAAATGAGCATATGACAATAAAATATTTTTCCTTATCCTCTCAAAAAAATACATATGAAAGGATTCTACCACTAGCTTAAACCAAATAAAATAAAACAGCATGACCAACAAGTATCTCATGATGTTGAGGACAATCATTCTGCTGATTTGACTTTCCACGCCAATTAAGAGATTTGGATTAGGCAATGAAGCTTGGAGAGTCTTTCACAGTAACACTTAGGAAACTTTAATTCATAAACCCTAGAGTGCATGACACCCAACAAAAAACATCTACAAAGCACATCAGTTAAGAAAGAAGAATAACAATCCTTGATCTTTTTTAGATAACTGTCTGAAAGATTAGGGATATGGGATAAGACCATTATGAATATATAAAAATGGAAATACCACTAAGATCCTAATTATTCTCTCTACTAAAAGAACAATGAAAGCTTCAATTTTTCCCAAACTTGATCCCAAGACAGACTTGTCTTCTACCCTCAAATCCATTTTCCTCTCAAGTTTTAGGAACTGAAACAAAAAAAGAGCAAAGAGTAGGAAAAAAAGTAGGAAAAAGTTAAAACCCATAGCCCTCAAGCAGTAGTCACCTCCTGCCAGCACAAATAAACTATAAAGGGTATTGAATCAATTACATCATTTACTCTCTTATTAACGTATTTCTTAAAGTATAATGAAAGGTTGTCTTCATAATCGGTTCTTGAATAAGCTTAAGTGGGAGTTCTAGAAAAATGTATGATCAATATCGTCCAGATTGTCCACACTAAAAAAAGAAAAAGAATTCTAGCATTCAATGTGCCTTTAATACAAATCACAGTGGGACTGTAATATTTAAAAAGTAATTCACAATGCCAACTCCTATAATATATAGAGCAGTGATTCTCAAACTTTATCATGCATCAAAATCACCTAGAGAATTTATGAAAACAGATTGCTGGTCTTGCCCCCAAGAGCGTCTGATTCTGTAGGTCTGGGGTGGGGTCTGAGAATCTGCATTTGCAATATATTTCCAGGTGATGCTGATGCTGCTTGTCTGGGAACCACTCTTTGAGAATCACTGCTATAGAGCAATTAATTTAATAGGAAATAACAAAGGGCCTTTGGCTTTGGGCTGAGTAAATTCATTGATGAAATAAAGAAAGAAATTTCAGAATGGAAACTACATTCATTCAACAACTATATAAGTGCTCACTATAGGTCAGTAACTGTTCTAGATACTGGAGATACAGTGGATTAAAATGGATTAAAGACCTAAATGTAAGGCCAGAAACTATTAAACTCTTAGAGGAAAACATAGGCAGAACACTCCATGACATAAATCACAGCAAGATCCTTTTCGATCCACGTCCTAGAGGAATGGAAATAAAAACAAAACGAAACAAATGGAACCTAATGAAACTTAAAAACTTTTGCACAGCAAAGGAAACCATAAACAAGACGAAAAGACAACCCTCAGAATGGGAGAAAATATTTGCAAATGAAGCAACTGACAAAGGATTAATCTCCAAAATTTACAAGCAGCTCCTGCAGCTCAATATCAGAAAAACAAACAACCCAGTCCAAAAATGGGCAGAAGACCTAAATAGACATTTCTCCAAAGAAGATATACAGGTTGCCAACAAACACATGAAAATTCTTTATGTGATGTTGAAATTCTTCTCAACATCATTAATCATTAGAGAAATGCAAATCAAAACTACAAAGAGATATCCTCTCACACCAGTCAGAATGGCCATCATCAAAAAATCTACAAACAAGAAATGCTGGAGTGGGTGTGGAGAAAAGGGAACCCTCTTGCACTGTTGGTGGGAATGTAAATTGATACAGCCACTACGGAGAACAGTATGGAGGTTCCTTAAAAAACCTAAAATAGAACTACCATAGGACCCAGCAATCCCACTACTGGGCATATACCCTGAGAAAACTATAATTCAAAAAGATAGATGTACCACAATGTTCATTGCAGCTCTATTTACAATAGCCAGGACATGGAAGCAACCTAAGTGTCCATCGACAGATGAATGGATAAAGAAGATGTGGCACATGTATACAATGGAATATTACTCAGCCATAAAAAGAAATGAAATTGAGTTACTTGTAGTGAGGTGGATGGACCTAGAGTCTTTCATAACTGAGTGAAGTCAGAAAGAGAAAAACAAATACCATATGCTAACACATATATATGGAACCTAAAAAAAAAAAAAGGTCATGAAGAACCTAGGGGCAAGATGGGAATAAAGACGCAGAGCTACTAGAGAATGGACTTGAGGATATGGGGAGGGGGAAGCGTAAGCTGGGACAAAGTGAGAGAGTGGCATGGACACATATACACTACCAAATGTAAAATAGATAGCTAGTGGGAAGCAGCCGCATAGCACAGAGAGATCGGCTCGGTGCTTTGTGACCACTGAACGGGGTGGGATAAGGAGGGTGGGAGGGAGGGAGATGCAAGTGGGAAGAGATATGGGGTTATATGTATATGTATAACTGATTCACTTTGTTATAAGGCAGAAACTAACACACCATTGTAAAGCAATTATACTCTAATAAAGATGTTAAAAAAAAGAAATTAATTCACACTTATACGGTCAATTAATCTCCAACAAGGGAAGCAAGAATATACAATGGAGAAAAGACAGTCTCTTCAATAAATGGTGCAGGGGAAACTGGATGGCTGCATGCAAACGAATCAAGCAGAGCTAATTTCTCATCCATACACAACTCAAAATGGACTAAAGACTTAATGTGAGACCTGAAACCATAAAAGTCCTAGAAGAAAACATAGGCAGTATGCACTTTGACATCAGTCTTAACAATATTTTTTTGGATATGTCACCTCAGGCAAGGGAAACAAAAGCACAGATAAACAAATGGGACTACATCAAACTAAGATGCCTTTGCACAGCAAAGGAAACTTCCAACAAAATGAAACGGCAGCCTATCAAATGGGAGGAGATATTTGCAAACTATATACCTGATACCTGATAAGGAGTTAATATACAAAATATGCAAAGAACTCATACGACTTAACATCAAAAAAACAAACAACCTGATTAAAAAATAGCCAGATGACCTGAACATTTTTCTTAACAAGACATACAAATGGCCAAAAGACACATGAAAAGATGCTCAGTATCACTAATTATTAGTGATCGCACATCTGTTAGAATGGCTATTATCAAAAAACAACAAACACCAAGTTTTGGAAAGGATGTGGAGAAAAGGGAACCCTCATACACTGTTGGTGGGATTGAGAATTGGTGTGCCACTATGATAAATGGTACAAAGTTTCCTCAAAAAATTAAAAATAGGACTGACATATGATCGAGCAATTCCACTTCTGGGTATTTACCCGAAGAAAACAAAAACACTAATTCATTCATATATATATGTAAACACACACAATGGAACATCACTCAGCCACAAACAAAATAAATCTTGCATTTTGTGACAACATGGATGGAATCAAAAAGTATTATTCTAGGGTCTTCCCTGGTGGCGCAGTGGTTGAGAGTCCACCTGCCGATGCGGGGGACACGGGTTCGTGCCCCGGTCTGGGAAGATCCCACATGCCGCGGAGCAGCTGGGCCCGTGAGCCATGGCCGCTGAGCCTGCGCGTCCGGAGCCTGTGCTCCGCAACGGGAGAGGCCACAGCAGTGAGAGGCCCGCGTACCAAAAAAAAAAAAAAAAAAGTATTATTCTAAACGAAATAAGTGAAACAAACAGAGAAAGACAAATACTACATGATCTCATTTACATGTGGAATCTGAAAACCAAACCAAACATACAAAACATCCTGGCTAGGCAGAGAGGGAAAAACAGCCTCATGACCAAGAACTGGGCTAGATGGCTTTTGACTCAGTGCTTAGATGTACATTGTCTTTGTTATCACAAAGGAGCAGAAGCTCTGAAAAATACACTTAAGACAGGTTGAGAACCAGGATGCGCCCAGGGCATTAGCCCTGCTCATAGCTTTGAGTTTCTTTTTTATTTTTGCCTTAGAATGTTTGTTTTGGGTTCCAGTTGTGTTTTCTGGTTACCTCTTTTTACATTTTCTTTATTATTTATATGTGTTTGAGCAAAAGGAGTGAATCTAATGGTTAATTCACTCTCATCTCTACAGAAAGCAGTTTTCACATATTCTTTAGGAAAAAATAAATAACAAAATTTCTATCTAAAGTAAGACTCCTAACATAGTGTGTGTTGTTGCCTGTCTTCTTCCAGAAATCTACTTAATCATTCACCTCTCCTGGGCAGGGGGATTTGTAGGTACTAATCACTAAGCAGGATATTATGGCTAATAATTCTAGTAATTTATTTCCTCCATTAAATATGCTATATATTACTGTACATTGAAATATACAGTAATTACATATTGTGATAAAAATGAAAAAGTTCTCGTTTCAAAGCCCCAACTTTACCAGATAAAAGAATGGTTATCTTCTGTTCCTAGTCTCATGAAAGTTCAGAAAGGCTGTACTTTTATTTCCCAAGGAGCAGACACTGTATGTACATACATGTACTCAGGCCCACAGAAAGCAAACATAATGGGCAGCTTTGCTTCTGATACTGCATACCAGAGATCTCAGCCTCACTCACCGATGCTTGGAAGACAGAGCTCCCTTTTGTATTACATCTCCCTGGAATTCTAAAGGATCTCTGGCTAACTAATTCTGTCCAACATTTA